TATAAAGTTTAGATTTCTAAATTAAAGACTGTAATTCTCTGTACTTTTCTGTTTTCAGATGCTTTGCTAGTAAAAGGAAGTGACACAGAGCTGGTTATTAGCCCAAAATATTGGTAATTTAGGTTAACAAGCTTAGAGTTCTTGCTTAATAGATGCCTTAATAAGAAAATGTAATTCTGTCATTTCTTTTAAATGTATTAATAATTTTACTTGACTAGCTGGCACTACAAGTATAATCAGGGTTGAGGAGAAAGGTAATTTGGAAGAGTCACAGGAATGAAATGAAAGGATAAGACACAAAGCAGAGGTTGAATAGATAGAATCTATGAACTTAGTGTTAGACACGTTAATGTTGAGACATATTGGGTCATTGGTTCTGAAAAGAACATATTGATCCTTTGTTGCTGAGTACAGTCATCATACCTGTAATTGTAGTACTTGGGAGAAGGGGCAAGAGGATTTCTGTGATTTTGAGGCTAGTCTGTGCCATATAGTGAGTTCAAGGTCAATCTGAGTTCATAACAAAACCCTGTCAGAAAGAAAAGAAAGAAATCCTATGTACACTTACTTTTGTTTTTACTTCAAACACATACCTGTGGCCACCTCTTTCCTAACTGATAGTCCTACTTCACCCAATATTGGAGTTATTTTTCACACTATATATTCTCATAATCCCTTCAAAGTTATGAATTCATAAAGGAAGGTACAAATTTGGGAAGGAAAAGGCCCATCGTGATTGTGTTAAGCACATTTTTGCCTTTCTTCAAAAGAAAATTAGAGAATTATTGGTGTTAGTAGAAAATTCATTTGTCAGTTCAGGATAGAGGTTATGGTATAAATGCAGATGTGTAGTTGTCTCTGTGGAAGAGAAAACCCAGCATAGCTGGGCCTGCTGGTGGACTTTAGGGGATCCTAGGATATGGGTTAGGAGAGAGCTCAGAGAGCAGAATGGGTTCAGAGGAGTGCCAGGACGTGCTGGTCAACAGTGCTGCAGGGGATAAAGCAGATGAGGACTGTAAACATGAATTAGAGAATCTGTGGAAACCACAAGATAGCTGTTGAGTAGTACTGGGAAGGGACACCTTATTTTAAGGGTTGGTTATAGAGTGAATGGAGAAGGGAGTGCATGGAAAGAGTGGACGTGGGCAATTTCATGTACGTCGGCAGGAAATAAGGAGAAATAGGCTGGTTGGTGGTTGGAGACTATAGGAAGGATAATTTTTCCCCACTTGGAGGAAACTTAAGCATTTGTGAAGAAAGGTGAGGGAGCCAGAGTTTTTAGCATGGCACAGAAAGTCCATTGTGATTTGTCCCTTTTCCCATGTCTGCTCCTCCAGCGTTACCTCTTGCCACTTACCTTCCCAAGCTTCTCCTCTGGTCAAACTGAACTACCTTGCTTCTTGGCCTGGCCCGAGCTGTACTCATGCACTAGTGCTCAGATTTCTCACATCTTTTTTTTTGTCCCCACCCCCAGTGTCCACATTCATTTTTACTAGTCATCCCATAACCATTAGAAATGCAGAATTTTGGGCCCTGCCTCAGACCTCATTTTATTAAAAATCTCCAAGGGCTCTAGGCTCAGACAACTGTAAACACATTGTTGAATGACTCTCTGATGTGATGGATGAAGGTTTTGTAAGCTATAGAAGAATGCATCATGGGTGGAACTTTCCATACATCATAGTACATTCTGGACTTTGGGATGCTATCCACTAATTGCCATTAAGAATACTGAAATAGTGGCATTTGACAGTACTTCTGTTGAGGACCTCTGATTGTGTTATAGACATGGAAAGAAGTTTGGATTTTATAACCATTACAGTGGTTATCACTGGAGGGTTTCAAATGGATGAAAGAAGGGGAAGATGTAATCTCTGGCTTCTGACTAGACCCTGAACTTCCAGGAGAGAAAACAATATGAGAAGTATAACAGGTAGAACAAAGTTTTAGGGGCAAAACAAGGCAATCAAAGATTAAGGTGGGACAATAGGCATGATGACACATGCCTGTAATCCTGGCACTTGGCAGGCTGAGGTAGGATTAAGAGTTGGAGACCAACCAAGGCTACATTAAGTATGACTCTGCCCCAAAACAGACAAACGAAAAACACAAAAAGATGTACATAGTAGAATTAATTTTTAAAAACAGGACTATATCTTAAGTAACTAGGGAGAAGAATAGACAATGATGTAAATATCATTTATTGAGATAAATTCTAGCCCAATTTAGATGAGCTTGATTTTCTCAGCAAAGCAAATTATATAGTCCTGGAGCCAAGTTGGGTAGAGTGTTGAAAGTGGAAAAGATTGGGAATAGTTGTTACAAAGAATGTATGGAGGGGAGTGGTTGGACAGATGGTGCAGTGGCTAAGAGCACTGACTGCTCTTGCAGAGAACCTGGTTCGATTCCCATCCCCCATATAGTGGCTAAGAACTGTCCTTAACTCCAGTTCCAGGGGAATCCAACATGCCCTCTTCTGATGTCTGCAGCATTGCATGGCACAGGTGCACTCACATAAATGCAGGCAATATACTCATACACATAAAATAAAAATAATAAATAAAAATTTTTTAAATAGAATGTATCGCTGGGTGGCAGAGGCAGGTAGATCTCTGAGTTCAAGGCCAGCCTGGTCTGCATAGTGAGTTCTAGGCCAGGCAGATCTCTGAGTTCAAGGCCAGCCTGGTCTGCATAGTGAGTTCTAGGCCAGCTGGTGCTACAGGGAGACCCTGTCTCAAAAAGACCCCCCCCCAAAAAAAAGAAAGAAAAGAATGTATCAGGGGACTGGAGAGATGGCTCAGCAGTTAAGAACACTGACTGTTCTTTCAGAGGACCCTGGTTTGAGTACCACCCACATGGCAGCTAACAGCTGTCCATAAATTCAGTTCCAGGAAATCCAGTAGCTCCAGCAGCCTCTTCTGTCTTCCATGGGCATTGCATGACACAGTGCACTTACCCACATGCAGTCAATACACGCACACACATAAAATAATAAAATATGTTTAAAAAAAAGAACGTTATCAGGGAATAACCAAGAGAAGAAGGAAGATTTAATAATGTCATCACGGGCTGAGGATGTAGCTCAGTGGTAAAGCACCTGCCCACTATGTTCAAGACCTTAGGATCCTCAGCACTGTAAAAACCAGCTAACCAATCAACCATCACTGAAGTGCCTTAACAAGAGTATAAAGTGATACTATAAGCTTTATCATATGGATTTCTGCAACCTTTCTTGGCCAATAGAAAACAAAGGGAAAGGGGATTGGTCAAGATTGGTAGATTGATTTGCTCAAAAGAATGAGACACTTAAAGGTTCTATTGAGACCATAGCAAAATGGTTGAAATAACTGATACCTTAGAATAGAAAAAGCAGGTGAAATCAGTAAGAACAAAAGAGCTGAAGATAGAGGAGAGGGGCAAGGGAACTAGGTAGAAGATGCAGTATGGGCAGAGAGAAGGTTTGGTTGAGAGTTGGAGGGAAATTACAATCACAGGAGAAATTTCCGAGTTTCAGATATTAGAAGTGAGATTCAGGTGTTTTTATTTTTTATTTTATTTATTATTTTTATTTTGTGTATGAGTGTATTGCCTGCATGTATATGAGTGCACCCCTGTCATGCAATGCCGTGGAGGTCAGAAGAGGGCTTCGGATTCCCCTGGAACTGGAGTTAAGGACGGTTTGTAGCCACCATGTGGGTGCTGGGAATCAAATCTGGGTCCTCTGCAAGAATAGTCAGTGCTCTTAACCGCTGAGCCATCTCTCCAGCCCCCCGAGATTGAGGTGTTTACAAATAGTAGAGCTAAGATGAACTTCCAGACAGATCATTAGAGGCGAGGCAAAAAAATTAGTGGCTCAAAGCCTGAAAGCACCACTTTATTATGACTCATGAGGGAAAGTGTCTTCATGAGAGAAGTTCCATCTTTTTTTTTTTTCAATTATTTTGTGATTTCATTTACCTAATACCTATGGTACAGCCTCCTCACATAGAATACAAGCCTCATAAGATCAGCCACTTTGTCTTTCCTTAACTCTATCCCAGTATCAAAGCAGTGCCTAGCATGTAATATGTGATGGATCAATAACTGTTAAATGTCATCTAAGTAGAAACTATTATCTATTTATTAAGCACCTGTCAGAAATATGCAACATGCTTTATACACATGTTCTAGACTTTGCCTGGAAGATATCTTAACCCTGCCCCCCAGATGACAAGGTAAGACTCTGAAGCAGAGGTAGCACAGGAGGAATGGCAGACTGCCCGAGTTTAAATCCAGCTGTACTTGAGAATTAAATCCAAGCGACCTTATCATCTGTGAAGCAGACATTTATAATAATACCTGCTGCCTAAGGTTGCTGTCAAAACAAACAAGTAGATATCTCTATGCTTATTACAATGACCTGACATACAGTAAGAACTATATAAATATGTGTTAGCCAAAAGAATTATAGCAGTAAAGGTGCTAAGAAATGAGAAACAAACCGAGCTTTACTGAATAATGCTAAGTGCCGTGTCATATTATCATACATGGTATTAGTATGGTATTTATACCCAAGAAATCTAGTCTTTCAAATAACCTTATTTCTAAACATCCCAATGTGCATACTTTTAGACATGAAATTTACTTGTGGCACATGATTCAACACTAAGCCCAAGTACAAGGAATATCTGCCAAATGCAGGTATTATTCCATAATCATGGGGCAAATATATATTTTATAATATCAATCAGTACACTTTTATAGGTATTAAAAGTTTTATATGCTCATATAGGAAGGCCTTATCAACAAAAAAATGCTTCCTATGCTTTAGTTCATAGATTACCTATTCTGTTATTATTAGGATTTGAATCATACTGAAAATTCATGGTTAGTTTGTAGTTACATGTATGATTACTACATTTGAAATAGTCTGTCTCATGTATATACATATATATACTTATCATATGTAAAGTTAAGAGTAGACTATTAAATGTTTAATGGTTATTCTTATTTCATTTTAGATTTTACGTTTACAATAAAAAGAAACGTCTTGTCAACACACCCTATGTGGATAACTCCTATAAATGGGCTGGTGGTGGATTTCTGTCCACAGTGGGAGACCTTCTGAAGTTTGGGAATGCAATGCTATATGGTTACCAAGTCGGGCTGTTTAAGAACGCAAATGAAAACCTTTTACCTGGATATCTGAAGCCAGAAACAATGGTGATGATGTGGACACCAGTTCCTAATACAGAGATGTCCTGGGATAAGGAGGGTAAATACGCAATGGCGTGGGGTGTCGTAGAAAAGAAGCAAACATATGGTTCTTGCCGGAAGCAACGGCATTATGCCTCACACACTGGAGGTGCAGTAGGTGCCAGTAGTGTCCTGCTGGTCCTTCCTGAAGAGCTGGACCCAGAGGCCATAAATAACAAGGTCCCCCCAAGAGGAGTAATTGTTTCTATCATATGTAACATGCAGTCTGTTGGCCTCAATAGCACTGCTTTGAAGATCGCCCTGGAATTTGATAAAGACAGAACAGACTGAGCCCTAAACACCACAGGTGCACAGTGAGCTCTTTTGATTTTTAAAATATTGGTATTTTAAAAATACATGAGATTTTAAAGACTGCATTTGTAATAGAATCCAAGTAAATGTGGAGAATTATGTACCAATTCTAATTGCTTAATTTTGTAACTGCCTTTTTATTGTACAATTAGCTCTTTACACTCAGGGAAATAACTGTTGTTTCTACTTTTTGAGAAAAGGTATTCTTGAAATAAAATATTCTGATAAAGGTATATTCTTTTTTCATTTTTTTGAAAGAGTCTTGCTATGTAGCATAGGCTGACTTTAAATTTGAATCCTGCCTTACCTCCTAAGCCTGGGAGTACAGGCATGAGCCACCATACCTGACTTAAGTATGTACTTTCTGAATGTGTAGTAGGAGCAAGCTCATGTAAAAGAAGGCTGTGAATATATTAACCTTTTAATATGACAGTGAAAACAAATTCATGAGAAATTATATATATGTATGTATATATGTATATACATAAACACATTTCTTGAAACATTTATCACCTCACAGTTTCTGAGGCTCTGGAATTGAGAAATACAGTTGGTGGGGCAGTCTGTAAAAAGGTTGCAGACACAGTATCTAAAGAATCTCTGGGCCTGAAGGAAATGCTTCCAAGATGGCCTGGAGTCAGTCCTGTGGCTGGTGTGGCAAGAGGTCTCAATTTGTCACATGGGCCTCTCTACAGGGATGCTTGGCTAGCTTAATGTGGCTGTTCATTTCTGCCAGAGCAAGTCGGGGGGCGGGGGGAGGAAGAGAGGCTGAGAGTATAAGCTCAAGTACACATACCAGGTACAGTTCACTATATTTTATAAGCAAGCCTCAGAAGTCACCGTGTTGCTTTTTGCACCACTGTGACCAGATCCCTGTCAAAAACAACTGAGGAAAGTAAGTTTGTTTTGTGTTTTCAGAATTTCAGTCCATTACAGCAAGGAAGGCATGGTGACAAGAGTAGGTAGTAGAGGTGCCAGTCATATACCATTATGGCAAGTTCTATTGGTCTAATGTTCACAGACCAACCCTGATTCATTGTGGGAAGAGGACCGAACATAGGGATAAATAGGAATCATTAGGAGCCCTTTTGGAGATCGGCTTCACAGATGATTCACTATAGTGTTGACATTGGGATATTTTGTTCTAACAGCCACAGATGGTCTATACTGGAGATTACCACTGTGCCACTTCAGTCAGGAAACACAAAAGGAAGCAACTTTTATGTACTTTAATGAAAATGGGATTTTTCTGTATTTCTCAGCCCTATGTCTATTTCTTACTTTCTTTATAAAAAGCAAACAGCTGCCAGGCATGGTGGCACATACCTTTAATCCCAGTATTTGGGAGGCAGCACACAGAGGCAGGCAGATCTCTGAGTTCCAGGCCAGCTGGGGCTATAGGGAGACCCTGTCTCAAAAAGACCAAAATAAACTAACTAAATAAATAAATGAATAAATAATTTTTTAAAAAGCAGTTTGGGTTGTGTGAATTTTTATATAAAGAGAGTAGCAGTTCTTTTAAACAGGTCCATTTCATCTTTCTGGCTTCCCTTGATCTCTAGGGTCAGTGTTCATGTTTTGTTAAATTTTCAGTTCATCCCTTTTGATAAACATAAAAATGCCATGACTTCCTTAGTTCCTTTAAAATTTGAGTATGTGGGGTTAGGGTAAATTTAGCTTAGTGGAAGAGCGCTTGCCTAGCAAATGCAAGGCCCAGGGTTTGGGCCTCAGCTTTGCAGGGGGGGGGGGGCGCTCATTAAAATCTGAGTATGCATTATTGTGACTAAATCAACTTATAATTTTTAAGTTTGCAAAAACAGCTTTAATAATGCCTTATCAGTGTAAGTGGCTGAACCTTGGCACACAAACCATATTCTGAAAGATACCTGGAGCCACCAAAGTAGCATTTAAATTGGGAGAGCATTGTGGGCATCAGGAAGTACACTATAAATGAACTCCAGGTGCAGGGCAATCCTTGGAGAGAGGACCCCTGTGAATTTAGTGTTTTGGGCTAGCTGTTTTAAAGTTTTGGGTTTTTTTTTTTTTTTTTTTGGTAGTCTTTAAAAAAAAGTTATATGCATGCATGATTGTGCAGGGAGGAGGGTGTGTGATATGGCACGCAAAGTCAGAAGACAATTGTGGTGTTGGTTCTCTCCTTCCTCTCGAAAACCCATAGTTAAGAGTTTCTGTTAGTGACTGGAGAGATGGCAGTCAGTAAAGTACCTACCATGCAAGCTTCAGGATCCAAGTTTAGGTCCCCAGAAGTCATGTAAAAGGGTATGGTTGTGTCTAACACCAGTGCTAGGGAGAAGACAGGTGGATCCCCTACTGGCCTGACAATCTAGTCAGAGACCTTGGTAAATTCTATAGTCCTTCCAAAGGAAGTAAATTGTTTAGAAGCCACAGCTTCCTCCCATTCTATTGGGCATGTAACCTATCCATGTAATTTTACCACCCTTTCCATCAAAGGCAGAGCTGTTTCTTCAGACTCTTAAAGACATCAAATGTGGTAGAAATGCTGTACAAGGTCCTACTCTTCAGCTTTAAGCTTGTCTTCACTCTCAGAATACCACCCACTGACACCATGTAAGGAAGCCAGACTTACTGGAGAACCGAGATGCCCCAGCTTCTGTCACCAGTTGCCAGGCATGTGACTAGAACCGTTTTGGACTCAACTCAGCTTTACCTTCAGCTAAAGCCATGTTAAGTGAACCGAGATGAGACCAGCAGAGTAACCAGCCAACTTACATAATCATGAGAAATGACAAGTCATTACTATCTTAAGCCATTAAATTTTTTTTGAGTGTGGTTTGTTTTGCAGCAAGCAGTTGCTAGCACAGTTGTGCACTTGTTTTTCAAGGAGAAAAATATGGGAAAAAACAAAACTTGAAAGTACTTTTAGTTTGAACAGACACAACTCCTTATTAGAAAAACAAACAAAACACTACTAACAGCAGCCTTTACTGTGTGAAAACACCATGCTAAGCATTTCATGTTATGCAACTTTATGTTCAAAACTTTAAAGTAGCCAGACATAGTGTACACACCTTTAATTCCAGCACCGAGCCCTTGAACTCTGGGTTTCAGGCCAGCTAGCACTACTGGGAGACTCTCAAGTACAATTTTTATATTTCCATAAATCACAAACCACCAACCACTAGAACATGCTTCAAACCCAGCTATATCTAAAGGCTGTTTTAGGCATTATCCTGTCTTCCCATATTTTAAAAAATGCTAAAAACTGGCTAGTCCAAAAAAGTCCTACTTTGTGGGATGAAACTTTATCAATGCAGTTTAGTAAAATAAGTAAGTTGGGGCTGGAGAGATGGCTCAGTGGTTAAGAGCCCTAGCTGTTCTTGCAGAGGACCTGGGTTCATCAGTAACTCCAATTCCAGGGGATCTGATGTCTTCTGGCCTCCTCAGGCACCGGACAACGTGGGTACACTTCTATACATGTAGGCAAAACATTCACACACATAACATTAAAAATTTTTTAAACTACTGAAAATACAGGGTTGGAGAGATGGCTCAGTGGTTAAGAACACTGGCTGCTTTGCAGAGACTCCAGGTTCAGTTCCTACCACCCATATGGCAGCTAACACTCCAGTTCCAGGGAATCTGACACCTTCTTCTGACCTCCACAGGCATTTCATGACATGGGTGCACTTACATGCAAGTAATACACTCATGCACACGCACACACACACACACACACACACACACACACACACACAAATCTATATTATTTTTTTTTGTAGTGTTTAGAACTAAACCCAGGGCCTTGCACATCTTGGGCAACTGCTCTATCACTGAGCAATTTTCCATCCCCAATAATAATGAGTCATCTCTCCAGCTCCAGCTGTGGTTTCTTTCAGTTTTGTTTGTTTCTGAGACAGGATCTTATTCTGCATCCCTGGCTGGCTTGGAACTCACTATGTAGACCAGACCTGCCTGTCTCCCAAGTGCTGAGATTAAAGGCACATACCACACTTGGCACTTGGCTAGTAAATAAGATTTTAACTAGAAAATTTGACTGCAAATAAAGAATATGACCTTCAAAATAATATAAAACCAAAACAAAGACAACATTGTAACTCTATCCTCTTATAGTCCCTTTTCTGAATATATCACCTTAGGAAAAGATATTCAATGGAAACAACACTGACAGGGCTAAAGCTGAGGGTCTTCTGAGCTCTGGGTCTAGAAAGCAGGGGCAGCTCTATTGGTATAGAGTGTCACCAAAACTACATCCCTAAGAAATATTTTAAATGTAGGTTTTGTGTTTGAGACAGGGCTTTCTGTAGCCCCAGATGGCCTATGTAGATCAGGCTGGCCTCAATCTCAAAGGTCTGCCTGCCGCTGTTTCCCCAGTGCTGGCATTAAAGCTATGTGCCACAACACCCGGCAAAATGTAGGCCTTTAAATTCACGGGAAATTTATTTTTTCTTTGGGCAGTACTAGGCATTGAACCTAGGGACTCATGTGTGTTGGGCAAGTGTTCTACCACTAAGCTACAGTCCCAGCCCTAATTCTTTCTAAGGTGAGGTTTTGTAGATAAGAAAACAGATGACCTGGTATAGTAGGAAGTGAGGCAGACTATGCAAAACAGAAATAAATTGAGAAAATTTGCTATTTTGGCAACCCCTTTGAAACAAAACTAAAAGAACACGTAAGCATGGATCAATAGCAAACACCATGACTTGACAGAACTCTTATCTACACTTGTGAAAACGTAGCTGTAGTATCCTAAAAAGAGACATTTAACTCCACTCATTGCAAGTTACAGTGGTCTGAAAATAAAGTATTTAGGGTCTATGCTTTGAAATGGGACACATAATCCATCAGAATATACTTTTTTAAAGTTTAAACCAAGATCAAATACATAGTACAACTAAATGTACAGCACCCTTTTAAAAAGAAAAAAAGCAGGGGGAGAATCTGTCCATAATTAAAACTTTATTGAAAAACTGACACCAAAATAGGAGATTATTATTTATAGCTTACAAAATCAAACATAATTATATGGTCTTGGTAGAGCAACTGAACTTAAGGCTTTCTGTGAGAAAACACAAATGCAGGAAGTTGTATAGATCATTAGTGTTGCTTTCTTCTAAATGAACAGCCTGCAAAGGAATCATGACAGTATATTAAAGTTTATTCCATTTTTGGTGTAATATTAGTGGCAAAAATGTACTTAAAAATATTTTATTATTTTTATTTTATATGTATGTGTGTATTGCCTGCACATATGGAAGTGCACCTATGTCATGCAATGCCCGCGGAGGTCAGAAGAAGGCGTCCGATCCCCTAGAACTGGAGTTACAGACAGTTGTTAGCTGCCATGTGGGTGTTGGGATTTGAACTCGGGTCTTCTGCAAGAACATTCAGTGTTCTTAACCACTGAGCCATCTCTCCAGCCCAAAATGTACTTTTTAAGTAAAAGAACTCAAGTTTTAGGAATCTTAGATTAACTACATTTAGAGATAGTAGATTTTAAATAGAAAAATTAAGTTTTAGGGATATTATGATTAACACCATAAATTTTCTATAATAAATGTTATCAGATTTTATTCTAACATAATCATAATGGTCACTCATGTTTCAAGTGCTACAATGAAATCTATTTAAGATCATAAACTTGAATTCAATTGTTAAAACTGTTTTGAAGATACATATTCCCCCCTTCCTCTTCTCAGTTTCCCAAGAAAGTAACTTTATTAGCATTCTTCTCAGATGTTAGGCATTATGCTACAGATGCCCACTTTTACCTCATCTCTCAGCATATTCATGTAAACTTCCAAAATGATGGCATGAAATAAAAGTTTCAGCAATCTTCCATGTGAATATTAAGAGCGATATGACTCTTACATGCGTTTTGTTGACTTTGTACTCAGATCTCACCCAACCACACAGAATAGATCTTGGATTTTCTACTAGAACGTGGAATTCACAAGCTCCCAAAAATATCACAAATTTCAAGTATCATGGAAGTACAAATTTGTCTATACCACTATGGAAAACTATACACACAATTCTTTTTTCTTATTGTATTAAAGTAGGGTATTTAATTGATACTAAATTTTAGTTATCTGTTCATTAGGTGGTAGTGATAAGAAAAGTCTTAAGTCATATGAACCAAATACATACAAAATAAAGTGTCTTAAAAACCCCATAGTTTTGGGGCTGGAGAGATGGCTCAGTGGTTAAAAGTACTGACTGCTCTTGCAGAGGACACAGGTTCAATTTCCAGCACCCACATGGTGGTGACAAACTGTCCTTAACTCCAGTTCCAGGGAAATCCCAAAGCCGCCTTCTGACCTCTGTGGCACTGCACGACATGGGTACACTCACATATACGCAGGCAATGCACTCATACACATAAAATAAAAATAATAAATAAAATGTAAAAAAACACAAAAACAAAAAATCCCCAGCTTAAAAAGTCCTGTGTCCTACTATATGCAATTATACTTGCTTTCATTCTGATTTGTTTTTAATTTATTCCAAGCTAAGTGCATAGATGAATATTAAGATCTGGCCATTCTAAATGTGAAAAATAAAGATCACTACGATGTCAAGAGCATAAATCTATTTAATGGAACTAGGGACTCAACTTAAATAAAAAAAATTAAATCTCATAGCCAGGAATCTCATAGCCAGCCGTGGTGGCACACGCCTTTAGTCCCAGCTGCTCAGGAGGCAGAGGGAGGTGGATCTCTGTGAGTTCAAGGCCAGCTGGGGCTACAGGGAGACCCTGTCTCAAAAAGACCACCCCCACAGAAAAAATTTTTAAATCTCATCACTAGGTTAGAAAATGCCAAATGATATACCTTCTGTGAGTCTGGCCTTTCCTCCTGTAGGCTGGCACAACACTGTTGAACAACCTACACAAAGAACCACTGTCTGAGCATGGCTGAAAACCGTAGTAATCTTGTAGCAACCTAAAAAGGGAAGGGAGGCAATATAATTATAAAATGTGAAAAGATAAAAACCAGTACCAGTTCATCTTACGTTTAGTAATACACAAATATTTATATCAGTAAAGTTTTATACATTTTCCATAAACATTGGTGCTTGCTGTAACAGCAAGCCATATATGTAAAACTATTACAGTGGCTATGTTATTTTTATTTTATTTTTGTATGAATGTTCTGCCTGCATGTATGTAAGTTCACCTATACATGCTATGCCCACGGAGGCCAGAAGAGGACGTTGGGTCCCCTGGAGCTGGGGTTATGGACCATTCATGAAGGTGCTGGTAACTGAGTCCTGGTTCCCTATAAGAATAGCCAGTGCTCTTAACCACAGAGCCATCTCTTTACCAGAGTCATCTCTTCATCCCTGCCACATTAATCTCTTTTAAAGGTGAAATATTTTTATTAAAGTTAGTATTTCAAAAACAGTAATTTCAGCATGTAATAGATGTTTGGTTTTTTTCATGCTATGTCTTCAAAGTTCAGTGTATTTTTCTCTTAAAAACCATCTCCATTTTCACTGGCCACACTCCAACTACGGCACACATGTATGGATAATGGTCAACACATTGAACAGTACAGTTTCAGAGTGAACAATAAGCATACTTTCAGTGCATGATGCAAAAGAAAAATCATCCACCTTTATGAACAGTCTAAATCTAATAAATCTGATGACTAGCCTTGGACCATCTTCACCTCCCATGTTTCTACTTTGGTTTGAGTTTATTACAAAAATCTCCCGTGTGACAATTCTGTAATCTCACTTCTATTCAACCGAGGGTCCTGATTTAGAAACTTTCAATCTTTTCGGACATTTCCTTTAGGAAAATAAGAACTGTAATCTTACCTGGACATTTTACATCCATGAAATAAGAATTTGGGCTTTGAACTAGCCGTTTCTTTTTATGTTTTTTCTTTTCCTCTTCCAAGGACGGATGTAGCAAATCTCTAGCCAACTGAATAAGAAAACGTATTATTTACTGCTGGAGTTAAACCACAAGGCTGGCCTGTTTAAACAAGCCATACACGGACTACACATAGAAAGTAGAGGCGACACTTCAGATGTTACAAGTTACTTTTAAAATTCGGATTGCTTTCATCCACACTGTGTTGGCCGAGTCCCTATAATAGGACTTTATGGCGATCAGGACACATATGGGCAAGGTGATTCCGTTCTTCACTTCAACAGAGCTAAGTAAGAACGAGACTCTCGGGCCCTTGATTCGCTGAAACCACCGACGCCAGGGTGATTTCTGGCCCGGGGTTCAACGTCTGCTCTGACTGCCAGGAGTGGGCTGACGTGTGCCGGCCCTGGAGGGATGAATGTCAGCAACAGCGTGGACAGCCAAAACGAGAAAACCTCTCCCCAGAGAAGGCAGAGTGCGCGAGCCACGAAGCCCGAGGACTCGGAAGCACTCCGGCCGGCCGGATCCAGTCGACACAGCAGGGGCGGCTGCGCTTCGCCAGGCTCCCGCCCAGGCAGGGCCAGCCAAACCGGGCTGGGCAAGTCCGGACAAGCCCAGCGTGCCCGCCGTCCGAGAGTCCCGGCCTCGGCGGGCAGCACTCACCCGGGAGCCGCCGGGCCCAGCCAACCCCGGGTCGCCGGACTCACTGAAAGCCCGAAATACTCCCCGAGTCCCAAGTAAACCACTCACAGGCATGGTGACCGCTTCTCCGCACTGCCGCTCCAGGTCTGGCAAGAGCCCGGCATCAACTTCCGGGATAGAGGCGGCGGGGTGGGGCGGACGGGACGCCAGGCCGGCCGCTCTGGGCGCTCGTCTCGGTGGTGCGGCTCCGCCCGACGGCTGGCCGGGGCAACTAACTGAGTGAGGGTGGCAGGCACTGAGCAAGGGCCTGGGCCTAGGAATTTACTGGCTTCTGCGTTAGGCTGGCTGCAGCCTTTGCCAGCGAGCCCAAGGCCAGGGGAGGAGCGTTCGGCCTTGGGCATTGTAAAGTGAAGCCAGGCCAGCCAGCCGCTCCCTGTTCACTTTACAAGGGGCACAAGGAGTGACATGACTAGTCTCTGTTCAGTGTGTTAAAAATATGTTACTGGGCCGGGCGTGGTGGCACACGCCTTTAATCCCAGCACTTGGGAGGCAGAGGCAGGAGGATCTTTGTGAGTTCAAGGCCAGCCTGGTCTACATAGTGAGTTCCAGGACAGCTGGAGCTACAGGGAGACCCTGTCTCAAAAAGACAAAAAAAAAAAAAAGAAAGAAAGTTACTGAGGTTAGGAATGTAACGCAGTTACCTGAGTGCTTTCTCTGCATGCATGAAACCCTGGGTTCAATCCCCAGCACCGAAAAATAAATGAATGAATAAATAGGATTAACTAGTAAGATCTGACAAAAAGGGATGTGAAACAGGTTAATAGCTTGTGTACACACCTTCTAAGGTACAGTGTTCCAAGTTCTATACATTATATGGCTTTACCTCAGGTTTGCTTTGCTCTGAAATCCCTTTTAAACAGTACCCATTTGCTGTTGTGTTTGATGCACCAAGAAACACCCCCCACCCCCCAACCCCTGAATGGCCCTGAAGATGTCAATGTTCTGATCCCTGTAAACGTAATTACACTTGGCAAGTGTAATTAAGGTTGTTGGCTTTGCTGTTGTTTTTGTCTGTTTCATTTGTGTTTTCAAGACAGGGTCTTGCTGTATAATCCCGGATAGCCTCAGACTCCTGATTCTCCCTCTTCAGCCTCTAGAATGCTGAGATGACAGTCTTTGAAGATGGAAGAAGGGACTGTGAGTCAAGGAATGAGGGCAGCCTTCTAACATGCAGGAAGTCAAGGGATTGAGAATCCAGAAAGGAACACAGCTCTCCCAAGTCCTCGATTTTAACCCATTGAGACCTGGGTCAAACCTTTTAAAGTACAGAACTGTGAGATAAAATTTGTATTGTATTGGGACTGGAGAGATGGCTCAGCTGTTAAGAACACTGGTTGTTCTTGCAGAAGACATGGGTTCGAATCCCAGCACCCACATGGCAGCTAACAACTGTAACTTCAGTTCCAGGGGATCCAATGGCCTGTTCTGTCCTCCGCGGGTATTGCACGACACGGGTGCAAAGACCTACATGCAGGCAATACACTCATACACATAAAAAAGTAATAAATAAAAAATTTTAAAAACACTGTATTGTTTTAATCCATTAAGTTTATAGTAATTTCTTATAGCAACAATAGAGAAACAATACAGTAGTGAAGACCTAGGTACGCATCACCCAATTTTGTCAAATCCTAATCTCACTGTTTTCCTCCTGATCCTGATCTTTCACAACTAAACAACACTACAGGGAACATTTTTGTAGATAAGGTTTGGGGTATATCTTTATTTTCCCTGGGATAAATTTCCTAAAAGAGAAGTTGCTAAGTCAAAAAAAAGTTCTATACATTATAAAAAGAACTTGTCAAATTATCCTCTAAAAAAGTTAAAACAGGGCCAGCAAGATGGCTCAGTGGGGTAAAGTGCTTTGTTGCCAAGCCTTATGATCTGAGTTTGATACCTAGAACTCACAGAGTGGAAGGAGAAAAGTTGGCTCCTGAAAGTTGTCCTCTGACCTCTACATGCATGGCACGGCACATGCACACCCACACACATACACACACAACACAAATGTTTTATTTTTTTTTTAAAGTTAATTTGCATTCCAAGTAAAAATGTGTGAGAATACATGTTTTGCATCCTTGGCCATACTGAATATTTTGCTGTCCTCTAGCCTAGTCAGTCTAAAAGAACTAAGTCGAATTTTTTCACACTTCACTGTGATTTCAGTGAACATTTTTCATATACCAATGTTGCTAACACTTTTCTATTGAGATGTTCATCTATTTCTTATTTATCCTTCCATAATAAGGATATTCAACATGAATCATATATGTTGCAAATATTTTCCCCAACATTTCCTATTAATTTTTTTTTGTTTTTTCTATTTGTTAATTTTAAAATTTTATTTATCTTTATTTTTTATGTGTTATGTTTTGCCTGCGTGTATAGAGGTACACCATGTGCATGCAATGCCCATAAAGGCCAGAAGAGGGCATCAGATGCCTTGGAATGGGAATTACAGATGGCTGTTAGCAGCCCTGAGTACTGGGAGCCAAACCTGGGTCCAATGCAAGTGCAGCCATCTAGACTCCTTTGGGTGATTTTTAAAACAATCATAAAATGGTGCTTTGTTTTGCTTTTGTAGTGTTGAGAATCAAACCTAGGACTTTACTGAGCTATACCACCAGCTCAGAAGCTTTTAATATTATCTATTCAAACCCGCATATTTCAAATCTCTTGCTTTTTCTTTTATGTCGCGTCTTGTGGGGTTTTCTTTTTCATGTTTAGGTACTGCTATTTCATGTTCCCTGTGTCTGTTTTCTACTATGGTATGTTTCTTGAAGGTCAGGATTTATTCTCTCCTTGGATGCTTAGTACTAAGCTCCCCAGCAATGCAGTGAGCTCTGTGTTCAACATAGCTGATTTGATAGTTATTCTTTGTGGATTAGCCACGTGGTTCAGCTAGTTCTAGTTCTAGTTCTAGTTATAACTTTACTAGACTTTTCTTGATGCATGCCTTTGATCATTCCTCTTTCTGAATTTGGTTAAAAAAAAAGACCACTGAATTCTGGGTAGGCCTCAGTTAAGTCCTTTCTAAACTCAGGAAAACAATTTGTATTTAGTTTAGGATTACATGTAGTAACTGCAGCTGCTTCTCTGGGGAAATGTGCATAAGCAAAAGAAATGAAATTCTGTTTTTCCATTAGATAAAAGCTGATTCAAAGACTAATAGTTAAAGGACTCAAAGTGTTAAGAAGAATGGTGTTCTGTTTATTCACAGCAAAAAACTTACTCAACTGTTTTTTAAAATTTCTGCAATACACAGAGCAGCAATGTAAACCCTCTTTCCTTGGAGCACAGAAACTTAACTCAGCCACTTAAGCCTCTCAAGTTGTTTTCCTATAAATGAAAATAGTCCATGTATGTGTGTGTGTGTGTGTGTGTGTGTGTGTGTGTGCGTGTGTGCTTATGGAGGCCAGAAGTCAACCTTGGTATAAGTTCCTCTGGAGCCATCTACTTAGTTTTTCTTGTTTTTATTTTGTTTGTTTCTTTTTTTTCTTTTTTTGTTTTTGTTGTTGTTGTTGTTTTGTTTTTAGATAGGGTCTCCCTGTGGCCTGGAACTCACTATGAAGACCAAGCTTGTCTCAATTTCACAGACACTGGCATACCTCTGCTTCCTGAGTGCTGGGATTAAAGGCATGTGCCAGGGATTCTCCTGTTTGGGACTCCCCATACTGGAATTACAAATATGTGCCATCCCGCCTGGTTATTTATATGGATGCTGTGGATCAAATTCAGGTCTCTGTACTTGTATGGCAAATACTTTACCCACCAAGCTATCTCCGAACCCCCTAAAATGAATATTTCATAAGGTTAAATGAAGATAGAATAAGGCAGTGCAGAGTATTGCAAGCGCTCAATGAATGTCACTACAAATTCACTGTTCTAGTTGATAATTAAAAAAAAAACAGTTGAGGGGTGAAATGGCTTAGTGGTTTTGTAAAAGTGTAGAACCCTTGAGACCCTTTTCATTCACCCGCTACCCCCCAATCCCTCCAGACCCCCACTAATTGCTCTTTTAGCTTCTGTAAAATGCTTGGCTGCTGCTTTAGACATGCCTAGACATACCCTGGCATGCCCTGACCCCCACCTGCTATTCCCCACCCCCCTTCCAGGAAACTATAG